ATCCATCCATCTCTCTAGCTGTCTATGCATACATCCATGCATCGGTCCATTCATCCATCCATCCATCCATCCATCCATCCATCCATCCATCCATCTATCCTTTCATCTCTGCATCCATCCATTTATAAAAAAATATACATTGGGTGCATACCATGTACTAGACATAAGAGTAAAACAGTGACTAAGACAGAGAAGGTCATTTTAAAGGGACAGAGTAATTGGTCACTAGATGACATCTGAAATGCCCCTACAGAGGAGGAACTAGAAAGCTGACTGGGTGTCTCATCTACATTAGCTCCCCATCTGATTTCCTTTGGTCGCTGAAGCCAGTTTGTAGCCAAACAGCTGGGGACGAGTGACCTTTGCCATCACAGGGTGCACGCAGGCAGGAGAGGGGGCGCTCCTCTCAATAGCTAACCCCAGTGGCAGGGAGGAGTTTGGGGTGTGTGCCTGGGAGGTAGGACTGAGCTCCACTCTGCTGCCGTGGTTCCCGCCTGATGGCCTCTCTGGGTCTCTCTTCCCAGGTTGGGGGCGGGCAGGAGGGTGCAGGGGGCCAGGTGGAGATCTTCTCCCTGAACCGGCCCTCGCCACGCACCGTCAAGTCCTTCCCCCTGGCGGCCCCCGTGCTCTGCATGGAGTACATTGTGGAGCCGGAGGAGGACCCCGAGGGTGGAGACGAGAGCCAGGCGGCTGCTGACCCCTCTGCAGGGACGGTGCATCCCACTATCTGCCTCGGACTGCAGGACGGCAGGTGAGGGCCGGATGGGTGGGGCGGGAGCCGTCCTTTACTGGCCTGCCTGCCCTGCCCTGGTTGGGTGTCATCAGGAAGATGGGGGCCAGAGACAGTCAGTGCGGGAGTCAGAGTATCAGAAGCCACGCGCCCTTTAACCTCCTGGCCCCCTTGCAGGTAGCACGGGTAGTTTTGGTGTTCAGATGTCAGCCCTGCCACTTCCGGCTGTGGGTCCTCAGGCAAACCACATAACTCTCTGAGCCTCGGTTTCTTATGTGGAAAGAGGGGATCAGAATTCTGCCGTGCTGGGCCATTGGTCGTTACCGAGACTGGGATTGACACCGTCAGTCGCTTAACTGCCGCTGAGTGTTCACCAGTGTGGCCCGTGTTCCCCCTGCTGGGCGGGAAGAGGGCCCTAGGATGTTCACAGGCAGGAGATCCCTCCTGGTGGGCGGCTGGGTGGGGTCTCCCCACCATAAGATCTGCCCGGGGCCGGCGAGTTAGCCTGACGGGTGCAGTAAGGGGGCCGCGGCCAGAGCTGTGCCTGTCCAGGACCAGTAGCTGACCTCCAGCAGTGTGGAGGGAGAAGGACTAGCCCCCCTCCTCCACTGGGAGGTGGTAGGTAACCAAGACCATGGGAAGCGACCATGCCCTCCATTTCTGTGCCTTATCCTCCTGAGTTTCTGCTCTCCACCCTTGAGGGGACGTGGGGAGAGGTAAGTTTCCTGAGCACCTACTGTGCCCTGAGCCCGTGTGGAGTGGGAAGTGGGAGTCACGGTGTGAAGTGGAGGCCATCTCCCCACCAAGTAGAACCAACTTGGACAGGCTCTAAGCTCTGTGAAGTTGGGCCGGGTCTGCAGCCTCGTGCCCAGCCATTGCCCAGCCCGGGGAGGGACGTGGTGACCACCACCTTTTATCTTTTACCAAGATAAAACTCCCATAACATAAAATCCACCGTTTGAACCGTCTTCAAGTATGCAGTGCACTGGCTTCCAGCAACCGCTATCAAGCTCCAGAACATTCTCATTGCTCCCCAAAGAAGCCCCATAGCCACTCAGGAGGCCCCCCTGCCCCGACCGCCCCTGGAAGCCATGGATAGGCCTTCTGTCCCTGGGCGTGCCCTATAACTGGCACCCTAGCTCCCTGGCCTTTTGTGCCTGGCTTCTCGGCAGCTAGCCGCACACCTTCAAGGAGCGTCCTTGTGTGGGTGTCGTGCTTCATTCCCGGGTGGCTGTGAGAGGGGCGTTGCAGCCCTGTTGGTGAGAACGGAGGCTCAGGATTCCAAGGTTGTCAGCTGGGAATTGGCACGTGAGGATTCGAACTCGGGTCTGTGTGGCTCTGAAATAACAATTCTCAGCAGTGTCACTGTGCTGAGTCTGGGGCTGTGAGCCATCCTGGTGACACAGCCCAGGGAGGCTCCCATCCTCCCATCCTCCACAGGCCTGAGCTCCTGCAGGGAGGGGCGATGGTCTGGTCACAGCTGGGTGCTGGGCATGTAAAGCACCCACTGAGCCCTGGCCGGCCTTGGCCTTTCCCCACAGCATCCTGCTCTACGGCAGCGTGGACACTGGCACCCAGTGCCTGGCAACGTGCCGGACCCCAGGCCTGCAGCCCGTGCTCTGTCTGCGGCACAGCCCCTCCCATCTGCTCGCTGGCCTGCAGGACGGGACCCTGGCCGCCTACCCTCGAAGCAGCGGTGAGGACGGGGCTGGGGCTCCGGAGGGAAGTTCTGGGTGCTGGGGATGCTGCGCTCCAGGAAAGATCCATCATCCTGGGTCTCACCGCATCGGGAGAGTCACCTCCGCTCCTGGGCCCGGGATGCTGAGGCCCAAGGGAGCACAGCTGGTCCCCAGCCACTGGAGCATTGTGGCCCCCAGGCACCGCGGCTCGCTTTGCCCTCAGTTTGGTGACAAGGGCTGAGTGGCTAGCGTGGCCGCCTCCAGGCCACCGAGGGGCTCAGTGAGCCCGCAGTTTACACAGCAGACGTCTCCCCCACCTCTGCACGGCCCTGATTGCTGTGTTCCCACAGCCTGATGCGAGATTATAAACGGATATTTGCACTGAGCTATCTATATATACATTTTTGCCACTTGGCACTGTGTAGGTATTTTTAATTAGCTTTTGATAAGGCATTTATAGTTTTTAATTAAAGGGGGAAGAGGGAGAAAAAAAAATCCCTCTTAACATCAGACAGAGCATGCGTGTGAATGTAAATGCAGGCGGGGAGGTGGGGAGATTTGATGAGGGGCTCCGAGGGGACGCACTCTCCCTGCTGCGGGCTCTGATTCCTTGGTGTGGGTGCCCGGTGGGGAGGGGGCGCGGCTGTCCTGGCCAGGTGCCCCAGGAGTAGTTCAAACAACAGATTTATTATTCCATGGTTCTGGAGGCAGAAGCCCAGGATCAAGGTGTCTCAGGCCACACTCCCTTCTGAGACCCTAGGAAAGCATTCATCCAAGGCTCTCCCAGCCTCAGGTGGAGTGCAGGGTGTGCCTGGGTGGTTTCGGGGTCACCCCCTTAGAAGGTAGGTAACCTAAGGGGTAAGCAGGGAGGTGGGGAATTGGCTGCCTGGTGCTGAGTCCCACTGTGAGGGATTGTGCCTGTGGCTCTGCCCCAGCCTCAATTTCCTCACCTGTGAAATGGGGATGCAGACAGCCTCACCTTCTGGTGCAGCTGTGAGGGTTTGAGGTGCTCCTTCCCACAATGCTCTGCACCAGAACTGGGTCCCCTGATCACTGTTGTTGTTTATTACTCCCCTCCCAGGCTCCGTGACCCTCAGCCTGTGTCCTGCCTCCTGGCACTGGGTGAATCTGGACCCCCAAGGGAGACCTTGTCCCCTGCAGGTGGGAGGAGGGACATCAGCCTCCTGAAGGTGTCTTTGCCAGACCGACAGGCCTTCCACACCCTTCGCTGGCCGTGTGAGCTGGTGCCAGCCAGATGCAGCCGGGTGGGCTGTCAGGCCGGGGCTGGGTGTGCGGCTGGGATGCTGGCCGCTCACTCTGGGAAGGAGGTTAAGGGTGGAGGGTGGGTAGAGCTGCCCTGCCCGAGCTCACAGCCATCGCCTTAGGATATCATTGTGATGCCCTTGGAGTGCAGGGGAGAGATTTAGAGGACAAAATTCTGGCCCCCTGTGGTGCGGACAGGAGACAGGACTTCCTGCAAGAGGGCCTCTTGTTCAGGTGCCCCAACCTGAACGGCAGCTGACTGGGGATGTGTTTTCTGACAGAACCGGATGGGTGTTGTAAATGCTGTCACTGTCTCTCATTCTGCCATTTCTGTCCTGACTCCCGGTACACGGAGGTGGGCGGCCAGCGAGCATGAGACCCTCAGGGGTCTCGCCCCCCAGCTCTTACCCCACATGGCCGCTGCCATGCTCTGTCCAGGGTGGGTGGTGCCCACGGGGTAAACCTCCCAGTTTAGGGGGTGATGTCCCATGTCCCGCGATGCCTGGAGGGTGGCGGTCCCAGCCTCCATTTTAGCGACAGCTGCAGGAGCTCCAGTCTCGGCCACAAATGCTGCTCACCTCTAGCCACTAGGGGGAGCTCAAGGCTTTGCGCGTCCTTGGCTCTGGTGTCCTGGTGGGGTCTGCATCCCTGTGGGGCCTGGCGTCTTCTGGTCACCACTCCCTCCTTGACACCAGTCCCAGCCACAGAGCCCTTCCGAAACTAGAGCAGCAGCGGAACTGGTCTGAGGCCTCCGTCATCTGGAGGGGACCTGCTTCCTGTGTGCTTGTGCTTATAGGTGCAAGGAGCATCTGTGTGTTTGGGGTTCCTGTTCCCCAACTTCATTTAAAATGGGGCCGGAGTGTGACTTAGCTGGCCGGCTGGGAGGAGGGGGTGAGGGTGTGGCCTGGGCAGTGGGGGTGGGTGGGGACGCAGTCTTGGGTCCTCCCTCCACAGAAAACCCCAGCGCCATGCAACTGCTTGGGGCCAGGGACACGGTTATGAGGAGACCCGCAGGTGCCTGGGCTTGGGACAGCCCTTGCTCAGGGCCAGGCCCTCAGTCTCCAGGACGGCAGAGGGGAGGGCATACGCCGAGGGAGTTGGAGGCAGAAGGGGACAGACATCAGCAGCTGGACTGAGGCAGAGGGGAGGGCATACGCCGAGGGAGTTGGAGGCAGAAGGGGACAGACACCAGCAGCTGGACTGAGACAGGCCACACGGGCCCGAGGGGCCTCCACTCCTGGTCTTAGTTCCCAAGGACATAAAAAGCCCAACCCCCCGAGCTGTTCGCCACCCCCGTCGCTGACCTGCGCCCTCCCTGTCCCTCTAGGAGGAGTCCCATGGGACCTGGAGAGCCCGCCCGTGTGCCTGACGGTGGGGCCAGGGCCCGTTCGCACCCTGCTGAGCCTGGAGGACGCTGTGTGGGCGAGCTGTGGGCCCAGGGTCACTGTCCTGGACGCCACCACCTTGCAGACTCAGGTACTGGCCCTGTCCTGAACGCCGGGTCCCTGGCTCTCCTGGCCCCGTGCCTGTGGGTGACCCACGGCTCTGCCCGCCTCACTTCCCCGTCCCCGGGCGGCTGTTGTGAGACAGCCAGCCAGGCTTGGAGAGCAGGCTGGGGCGGCCCACGCACTCTCTCGTTGTGCTCTTGCGCGTGCAGGGGCTGTGAGTGATGTCGCTGCACCATGCCTGGCCTCAAGGAAGGGCGTCCAGCAGCAGCCTGGGGCTGGAGACAGCTCTGTGGGGACGCAGAGGTTCTCTGATCTTCAGTGCTGCAGACCAGGGAGCTCCGAAGTGCGTGCTGGCTGGGGTGTGGCTACCATGACTCAGACCCAGTGTGAAGAGATAATGCTTCATCTAGAAATTCTGTTAACTCTAGGAGCTTTTCCTGATTCCTCCACCCCCAGAAAGTAACGATAACACACATATTGGGTTGCACTAGGTAGGCATGGATTGAAGCCCCTCATGAGTATGAATTTATATGATCCTCAAGCCACCCTCTGAGGTGGGTACTATTATTTCTGCTGGTGAGGAAATAGAGACACAGAGAGGTTAAGCAGCTTGTCCAAGCTCACACAGCTGGAAGAGGCACAGTCAGGATTTGAGCACGGGCTTCCTGAGTCTGAACCCTCCTGCCAGCTGCCTTGGCAGGAAGGAGGCTCGGGTTCCTTTTTGCACTGGCCCCAGTTTTCTGTCCCCATCAGATGTCCCCGTGGGAACTCCCATTGTTTTATGAGCTGGCTTCTTTCTCCAACACATCCTCTAGGCTGAGGGCTATAGCTCGTTTGTCTTTGTTCCTGCATGTCCGGCTCTTCGAGGGCAGCAGTGGGTGCCCCGTGGTAAAGACTTGTGGGTGCAGGTGGAGGGGTTCACCGAGGGTCTCCGATTTCCAGGTCTTGGGAGTCAGGTGCCCGAGGACAGACATGCGTGAGATGTGGCATCAGTTCTGCAGGAGCTCAGAGTCCAGGGTGACGAGGCCCGAGGGGTGGGCAGGCCCCGTCCAGCAGGAGCCCAGGGAGGAGAGCCGGGTGCCAGGCCCGGCCGGAGGGCAGGAGAGGTGCGGTGTGACAGGCGTGGAGAAGGGAAGCGGCGATCAAGGCAGAAGCCAGCACCGTGAGCCAGGGCAGCCCAGAGGTGTGCATGACGCTGAGTGGTGGGTCGGCTTCCCGGGGAAGGGGCCTCTGAGCTGCGGAACTGTCTCCCAGGCCCACTTGGTGCAGCCCTTGCCCCGTGCCCAGCTGGTCCCCACTCGCGGCCCTGACCTTGCTCGTCCCGTCCCCCGGGGAGCCGGCGCCCGTGGTCCGTCTCGGAGGTTTTACGCTTGCCCACCAACTGCTTGTTCAGCTCCTTGATCCCAGTGGAGGCAGAAGCGAGGCCTGTTAAATAATAATGTCGCTCACCAGGGCCTGTGTCAACACCGCATCCTCCGTGTTCATTATCTAGATCGCCACCTTCAAAGTCTAATCCAGTCGTCTGGAGTTCATTTCAAGCGGTCGCCCGAGGGGGAAGCCTGCTATGGGATGATTGTTGCATCTCAATGTAAAGGAAACTTATTGGGGATAGGTTGACAGGTGGCCCGCAGCACGCAGGGTGTGCTCTGCCAAGCTGGGGGGGCTGGGGTGCGGGGCGAGGATGCTCCCCATGTGATGGGCCTGGGGTTTCTGCCCCCACCTCTCGGGACAGGGAGGGGCGGTGGGGCTTGGGGTTGTGGGTGTCATCGTGCAATCGGCCTTGCAGTGCTGTGGAGAGGTGGGCCGGGCCTGTGCACAGGCAGGAAGCAGGCCCGCAGCCGGGTCTTTCTCTCAGTCTGCGGCCCCGCTGGCCCCCTGGTGGCCTTGGAGGGCGCCGTGCCTCTGCCTGTCTGCCACCAGCCTTTTGCTCCGTGGCCCTGGAGCTCATGTGGCTCCGCACTCAGATCTCAGCTTAACTGCTGCCTCCCTGGTGAGGCCACTCACCTCGTCACCCATCATTACGGCCCCAGGAGCAATTGTCCCTTTCTGAAAATGTCCTCGGTCTCGCAGGGTCATCATTCTGGGAAAATCTGGGCTGGGGGAGGCTCGGGGCTCCTGGGCCCAGCTGGAGGTGTCCCAGGGGCAATTGTGCCAGTTAGGATGGCAGGATGGGGGGTGGGGCGGGGCCACCAGACAAGGTGGGGAGGAATTGGTGGAGGGTTGTGGGGGGTCTGGTTTCCTTGCCTTGCCAGGGAAGGTAGAGGGCACATGTAGTTCCCACACAACCTGTCTCTTCCCAGCTGTGGAACTGGACGGGACACATGTGGTGGGACAGCTGTGTTGCCTGTCCTGGTACCAGCCTGTGGTGCCAGCTCCCACCACAGCCCCTTCCCCAGAGCCCCATCGGACCCCTCAGAGAAGCCTGAAGACCGCCTTGGCTCCTCCACACATATCGTGTCATGCCCTGCGACTTCCTGACTGATGTAGCCCGTACCGGAGCTGCACGGTGATGGTTTGGGGCTGACCCTGGGATGAAGCCAGCTGATCTCTGCAGGGCAGGTGCAGGCCTGGTTGGCTGTCACTGTCCTGCTGCAGCCTCATAGGGAAAAGGCCCAAGGCACAGAGCTGTGCAGTTAGGGTTCAGGCCGGGGGCAGCCCAGAGGGAAACGGCTGACTGGCGTCTCTTGCAGAGTGGCCAATGGAAGCCTGATTTTAACCAGTATCAGAGCCTGAAAGGGCTTCCCAGAGTGGGTGCCATGGGCTGCAGGGCCCCGTCCCACTCCAGTCCCTCCCACTGGCATTGCCCTGGCTCTGGCAGGGGCACCAATGCTTTTCGTCATACAGAGGAAGCTTCTCCGTGTCCCTGGACACTCCCGGCCCCGTGGCTCCCCCCTGCCCACTTCCTGGTACCCCTACCTTCCCCTCCCTTAATTTCCACGTTTAGTGCCCAAACTTAGTTTGCATGTATTAGCTGTTGTAAATCTATCACAACAGTGTGACGCAGCATGAATAATGCATCGCTGGGCTGTATTAGTTTTCTGTCTCTCATCTTATTTATGACATGAAACGGGTGGGAATTTGCAAAAGTGAAATCCAGGCGCAAGGCTTCTTGGGTAATGACATGCAAATTGGCATGAGGGGAAAAGATTCACCCGCGTTGTGGCAGCGCCCAGGAGCTCCTCGTGGAAGCGCACAGTATTTGTACCACCAGAGCCTGAGGGATTGGGGGTCTTGTCATTTCATGCAGTCAACTGATGTTCGGCAGTTTCGTCCTAATTTTTTTTAAAAAAGTCTGTGTTATTGTCATCCTGTTATTTTTTTTTTAAATTAGAAGTTGGCAAGGAGAATGTGAGAAATTGATTTTTTAAAGATTATAGGCACTTCCCGGGAGGCCCTGACAGGAGTAATTTCAAAAGGGGGATGAATGGGTATGATGGCGCATGCTTGTGGTCCTGGCACTCTGGGAGGCTGAGGCAGGAAGATTGAAAGTTTCAGACCAACCTAGGCAACTAAGTGATTTAGCAAGACTGTCTCAAAACAAAAAGGGCCGTGGACGTAGCTCAGTGCTAAGGCCCTGGGTTCAGTTCCCGATACTGGGAGTGTTTCCTAGCTGCAGGAAAGATTGAGGTCAGATGTTCAGGAGAACTCTTTTTCAGGCAGCTTGTGGGGAGTGGGAGGTGGGGATGGGCTTGGGGAGCCTGTGGCCCCTTCCCTGGGAAGCATCAGAGAGAGTCAGGAAGTCAGCTGGCGTGGAGTGGCGCGGCTGGGAGCAAATTCTGCCTCAGGGCCTGATTCTAGGCAAGTCTGGCGCAAAGGCCAGCTAAGGGACTGAGCTCTGGGCCCCTCCCCTCACCTGGAGAAGCTCAGCTCTTTCCTGGGTCCAGTAGTGGGTCTCCCCCAACTTGCAGTTTAGGCTGATAAAAGGATTTCATGGTTTTTTTTAAACAAAAAGTTTGAAGCTGTTGGCTCAGGGAATGGGCTCTGTGAAGCTGTCTTGGATGGGGACAGAAACTGGAGGAGAAAACGGAGACGGACGGAGAAGGGTCGTCTGTAGCCGTGATAGCTGGGCCCAGGGGTTGGGTGTCCGTGGGGCCTGGCTGGCTTCAGCCCCAGGCTGTACTACTGATTGCCCCAGTTTCTGCATCATTGTGGAATCGAGCCGCTTCAGGTGCTGACAGCCCCCAGAGCTGTGCCTGGTGGGAGGAAGCAGAGTGAGCTGGCATCACTTCATCACCAGACTTGTTCAGGATGCCGGGGCGTGGGCAGGGGCACATGGGGTGCAGCCAGGGTCTCGGGTGCTTCTGACTGTGGAGCCCCCGCCTGGTGCCACATTCTGTGTCCTGTCTGCATTGTGTCTCGTGGGTGTGTGGCCTTTGCTGTCCTCCATGGAGTGAACCACAGGTGACTGCGTCTTGTTCTCTGTGTCGCCCTGCGGTATAAGGGCCCGCATTGAGTGGTTTCTCTCTCCTTTGCTTTCTCTCCCTCCACCATCCTTCTTTGCACGCCAGCTCTGTCCTCTGCTGTCTCTGAGCCTCCCGAGGGCTCCTGCTTCCTGGGTCCTGCAGGTGGGGCCCCCCGTGTGGGGCTCAGAAGCAGACAGAGCAGCGAGCTCCAGCACCTGGGGACGTTCTCTGGGCGTCCTGCTCCTCAGGACAGAGCCTCCATCATCTGACCCTGCTCGCGACCTCCAGGATGCCCGTGGCCCAAAGTCAAGGCTGTCCCAGCCTGCATTCGGTCCTTGTTCCCACCAGGTTCCCGGGTCCCACAGCCTCCTTCCAAGCACCTCAGGCCCGGCCCTTCACACCCACTGCCGCCCTGCTGGGAACTCTCCCTCCCGTCCTCAGTTTTGGCAGTTCCTGGTCATTCAAACTCCCTGCACCTTTGCTAGGGACCCTGACTGCCTCCCTGCAAGCTCGCTGCTCCTCTTCTGGGCTCCCCGGGTCCCAGCTCCCCTCCTTTGGGCCACCCTGTTGGGTCATACGCAGGAATCTGAGCATCTCTCCTGCCACATGGTGTCCCCAGGGCCCG